TTATTATGTACACTATTGCTGTTACTATTGTTATTACTATTATAATCATTTGTTATTATTATGTACACTATTGCTATTATTATTATTATTACTATCATAATTATTTACTATTATTATGTACACTATTGCTATTATTATTGTCAAAGCTACTAATACCGCTACCATCTTTGTTATACAGGATGTTGTCCCAAGGTTATGGTACTTCCAGGAAATGAGGAGTTCCTGAGGTTATTCGAAGCAACTTTTTCCTTAGCGAAAATGCAATCCGCGGCTTTGTTTACGAGTTATCAACGAAAAATACTGACCAATGAGAAGCGAGATCAGCTGGCGCGAGGCGGCCGAGCCAACGGGCGGCCGAAGGCCAGTTCCACTGATTGGCACGGCCGCCTCGCGCCAGCCAGTCTCTCGCCTCCCATTGGTCATCGTTTTCCGTGAATATCTCGTAAACAAAACGGCGGATTGCATTTGCGCAAAGAAAAAAGTTACTTCAAATGACCTCAGGAACCCCTCATTTCCCGGAAATGCCACAATTAACAATTCTCTGCAACAAAGAGTCCACCCTATTGTCACAATAAACATTATTATTATCGCTATATTCAAAGATGCCTATTATTTTCTGTATTTATCGCACGAACTATTAGAAAAACTACTTTTAAAGTACATAAAAACGCCGACATGCTCGTTTAACAGTGAGAGAACCGCTCGAAAATTGCATTTTGGCCAGCATTTTGGGAAAAGGTACGAGCACGGTCGCGTTCTCGTAAATCGGAGACCCTGTTTTCTTTAGGGCGATAATCGACGCGCCCGAAATAACTTAGGAAAACGACTATAGTTGTATGCTTACAAGCTATTTGAAGCTCGACCGTGTAGGTGACGGTGGTGTTGCCCCTCTCCCCGTGGCAGGAATAGAATCCTTGATCCCTGTGCTCGGCCGAACGGATCACCAAAGTGTCGTTCTCGAGCACGGTCCTCTCCTCGTCGGTTTCCAGCGGGCCGATGTCCTTGAAGAACCACTGCACGACGTCAGCGTCCTCGAAGATGCAGTGGAGTACGGCGGGTTCGCCGCGCTTCGCGATTAGGTTCCTCGGGACGACCTTGATCGTGGCGGACTCGTTGCCCGACACGGTCAGCGGATAACTTTCCATCTTTGGCGACGATCCAGCCTCGTTCTTCGCCAGGCAGCTGTACATCCCGCTGTCTTCGGGGACCGCCCGATGAACGTGCAGCCTCATCTTCCGCACTTCGATCCGTTCGTTCCGCACCACCGGCTCGCGGTTCCTGCAAAAGAACAGAACGGTTCCGTCGTCAGTGTCGTCGTCGTCGTCGTCTCGATTTCTCGTCGCGTCGACAACGGCTCACAGTGGGCTGGATCGAGGAATTTAGTGACATTCTGTTATAACTTTTGAACCATCGAAGATATTGCAATGAAATTTTCACGAAAAATATTTAAAAAATAGTTATTTTAAACTATAGATAATTAAGTTTGTTTGCATTTGTTAAACAATAATTTTTAAAAAATTTTCATTGACATTTTTTGTGAAAAAAAGAATTGTTTAAATATAATGTTACAAACTATTTGTAACGTTACAATAGTAACGTACCTGGAATTACTAGTGGGTCCTCGTAACCGGTGTGGGTGCAATAAAGTACGCTTCTCAGAAAAAGGTCTCTGTATGCATTAAATCCTGAAGCTGCAGATTTATTGAAACAATAACAAAATGGTAAGATCAATTAACGTACTCTACATTTTATCAAAAGTTCGAACTGTTGAAATTTACCAACTACATAAAATGCATACAGAGAACCTTTTCTGGGACGCGTACTTTATTGCACCCAAACCGGTTACGAGGATCCACTAGTAATCCCAAGTACGTTAGTATTGTAATGTTACAAAGTTTGTTTCGTTTACTTATATTTTTCATGTTATATGGAATAATTTACAATTTTTAATATCTGTCGATTTACAGATGAAAAAACGTTCTGTAATACCGACTGGAACACAGAGAGATTATCTTCGATATCTTTAATCTCGAAGTAACGTAACGTTGATATCTTTAAAACGTAACAATTTGCAATCTGGTTCGTCTTGGTTTGTAACTTTTACAGAATTATGTAGAGGAAAGTATCCCGAAAATATACCGTTTGTCCGAAACCGTGATTTCTTGGATGTCAAAATATATTCCTTGTCGAATGTAAAGAATTTATACACTTCTTCTATTTTATTAAACATTATATCTTTCATATGTAGGATACAAAAATCTTAATTCAAGCTACTGTTTCCTAACGAGAAATATTGCCTCCTAATGTTAAAAAAGAAAGCAAAGGAAAAAGTTAATTAAGTTTGTCAGGACGTTGCAAGAAAAAGAAGCATATCTTTTGTCATCAAATGTAGCGTTCAAAATGTTCAACTTTAAATTATCGTATCTATTACAATTTACGATCATTTTTATTCATATTTCCACTTTCGAGGCTAATGGACGTTTAACAAGCAATAAAAATTGACTGGGCATCGATACGAGAAAATTAGGTTTTCGTCAAAAAGTCACTAAAATTTCCGATCCGGCCCACTTTGGCGGCTCCGCGAATTCCAGCGGGGAAGAGGGTCGCGCGCGCGCGCGAAGATCGGCCCGACACGGCAAAAGTTTCGCGAACCGGTGACGGCGAACGAACGACGACGGGTGTCGGCTTCGGGGCGCGGGCCGCCGGGGGAGGGGCTCGAGATTGGCTCGAGCCGGGAATTTCGCGGAGCGATCGTTGCCGGCGCTTGCGACTAACGGCGAGCGATGTGTCGTGTAACCAACTTGAACCACTCGTATTTCAAATTTCCGGTGCCGTCGACGTGACATCGAAGCTCGACCTCGCTTCCCACGTGAATCGCCGAGGGTAGTTTCGGCTGCTGCAGCTGCACGCTCGCCTCGCTGATCCCTGAAACAGAAATTGCCGCGGATCGATCAGGCCACGGTCTCGCGAATAATTCAGCACCGCCGTCGCGCGGCCGTGCTCTACCCGCCCCCCCCCGTCCCGCTTGAAACTTTTATTCGATATCGGCGACTACTTTCGAGGGCCCGAATCCCGGGATAATATCATTGTGCCCGGATTCGCCGACGCATACGTGCCGGCCTCACGGCCCGCCGAACGGCGGAGGACCTCGAGAACCGGGGAATCCGGTTCACGGATCAAAAGGGATCGTTTTCGAGGGCAAGGTCGGTCGTCCGCGAGACAAAAACTGGACGAAGGGAATCAAGAAGCTCTCTATCCCCGGTCGACCGTTTCCCCGAACAAAAGGTCGGGCTCTCTCTCTCTCGGCGGTGGTGGTTGGCGAGTCCTTAAAATGCGGGCCGAGTTATTTGCCGACCGGCAAAGTCTCGGTAAATTAAGAAAAAAGGGGGAAACGAGAGAGAGAGAGAGAAGAGAGGCCGCGCGCGGAGCGTTTCTTCAAACCGGGCAGAGCGTCGCCGAAAGACGTGGTTCGCTCCTTTCTTCTGGCAGCCTCTCGCCCTAGTAGCGCGGTCCTTTTTTCCCCGAGGACAGCGCGTCGTTGTTCCGCCATCGTCCTGTCGCGGCCCGTCTCGGCCCGTCCCGCAGCCGGGACGAATCGAACGCGCGACAACGAGCAAAAAATCGAGCCGGAGGGCGAACGAAAGAAGCGAAAGCCGGAATCGAGAGTGTGCTAGACAGACGATCGGGAAGAACCGCGAAGACTGGGAGACGGAACGAGAAGAGAGCGAGAGAGAGAGGGGGGGAGGATGGGACGGATGGGTTCGTGCAGGATGTTTTATTTGATTCGATTAAATCCGTGGGTTTCGAGGCGGTCGCTTCCCCGGTAGGTTACACTCGCTTCGAGACCGCCGCTTGATCCTTTCGGAGCAAAAAGGAACGAGGACGGAATCGAACTGACATTCCCAGGAGCAAGTTCCACCCTCTAGCTCTCACTCTTCTCCGGCTCCTTCGTCTCCTTCTCCTTGTTAGTCGTCGTTGTCGTCGTCGTCGTTCTCGTCGTTCTCGTCGCTCTGCTCGGTCGGGAATTGCTTTCCCTCCCATTGTCCTACGAATGCTCTTTCCCCGTTCTGAAATTACGCCCGGCCCCCGTCTTTTGCGCTTTCTAGCGAGCATTTCCGTCGATAGGATTTCACGGAACTCGAAACCGCTCGTTCCCGAATCCCGTCCCGCCGTTACCCGTCCGCGAGACAGATTTTCCTCTCGGCCGTTCGTACGCGGATCAGCCTCGATCGCCGACATCCTCGACGCTGTCGCGATCGACGAGTTTGCCGACGGCAGGAGGCTCACCTGGCGGGGTCAATAACGACTTGATCTCACCGCGGACAGGAAAGGAAATCCGAGACAGACGCGGAAGGGTCGGATCGCGGCGACTTTTACCCCGAGGCCGGGGCGACGTCGTTCTACGGCTTCGGGGCCCCGGTGTGCGTTTAGTCGCCGATAAATCGGTCGGTGACGAGAACGCGAGCTTTCTTGTTCTCGCCGGGACGCGATACTCGTGAGAGGCGAGCTTATCGATATTGAAATAAGAACGGAAGAGCGGCGTGGTAAGGGGAACGGAGAGACCGAAGGGCGCAGCCAGCCCGACAAGGTTTCATAGTTTTCGACGGATCAACGTCCCGGCACCGGGCTCCATTTCATTAGGCGGCGGCGGCGCGCGGATTCAAACGGCGCCGCGCGGCTTCATCGATCGAATTTCCCATTACAAAATTATCCTCCGAGCGGCGGAACACGCGGAGCAAAGGACCTCGAGGACGAACGCACACGTCATTAGCGAATCTCGGGCCGTATTGCTTCGGCTCCCCGATATTCTCTCGTCGCGTCGCGTCGCGGCGCATTCCGTTTCATTTCGCAATCGACGCGGATCGACGAGAGAAACACGCCCCGGTGTCGGTCGGCGGCCGGGAATCACCGAAAATACTCGCGGAGACGGAATTTACTTTACATGGATGCCCGGTTATCCGTGAAATGGCGACGAGTTGTACCGCTACCGCGGGGCGCCGTGCGCTCTCGGCGTGCTCTCGGCGTTCGACGCTCGGCGACCGCATCCCCGAGGTGGCATTATTAACAGCCGACTGAGCCGCGTAGCCTGTCCAATCCCCTTTACTTTTATCCGCGACGATGCTTCTACCAGTCGACAACTTTTTCTTTTTTTTTTGTATCGCGCCGAAGTCGAGTCGACGCGGGAACGAGACGCGTCGAGAGGCCAGATGAGCTGCCAGTGTCTTGGGGGGAGAAACCGGCGATGCTCGGCACTCGAGGCACCCACCCGTCTCCCGGCCCCCCCGGCGTTCGATGTTTCCCTTACGGGCTGATTACTTTGCGAATTAATCTTTTCCGTTAATGCGCGCAGTTTTTCATCTCCTCGCTCCTTCGACCGGGGACGAGACGCGTCTGCGGAGGAAGACCCTTTCCGACCCTTCCCGTTCGAATTGAAACGCCGCGCCGGAAAGTTGACGAGTCTGTCCCCGCGACCGTTCGAGGTCGCGTAAGCGACGAGGCGCGTTAACGGAAGACTCGTTACGCGTGCACAACAAAGGACGCGATCATGGGCGGCCGATTGTTCGATGATACGCGGCCCGGCGAACACGCGCGTACGGAAATATCGCGGAACAAACGATCGGGAAACACCGGTCGCACGAATATTTCTCGTCGAGCCCGGAGTCGCGGCTCGAGAATAATAATCGAAATCCATTGATATAGAAAACGCGTGTCCTTTGATGTGTCTCGATTACTTCGCGCCTATGCCGTTCGCGTCGATATTAATTACTAGCAATTAGCGGCGCGCGGACTGTGACTCGCGGCTACGAAGCCGAGCGTTCCACGGCGGCGCGTTAGCTTTCCAAATTACTCCTTTCAATACCGCATCGAACAACGTTCGCGGACGTGGCGGCGGCACCCAGGGGAGGAAAAGGAAACAGCTGGTTCGAAAACGTTGCGTCCGGATAGCGGCCCGCTCTCCTTCTACTCTCTCTCTCCCTCTCTCTCTCTCTCTCTCATTCCCGTTCGCTCTCCTCCATCGCCGAGATTCGTTCCCTCCACGGTTCTCCGGTCCGCGCCCGTTGCTTTGCCCGTTCTCTTTCACCCTTTTCCCGTCGCAACGGGGCCTTGGGTGCGCGAGCGGATTAAAGGGCCGCGTTAAAATGCCCGCGCCCACTCTTCCCACCGACATTGAGTCCATTAAGGAGCATTAATCTCGAGGAGTTGTCCTCGAGGAGGCGGATATTTTCGAGGGCCGGCGCTCGCTGTCGCGGCACAATGCGACAATAAACAATCACAAAGCCCGGAAGAAAGGAGGAAAAATCGCGGAGGGATGACCGTGAGAGGGCTGAAGCCGCGAAGTGGGAGACAAGAATTCAGGGATAAGGCAAGGCGGTGTACACCAGTGGGGAGGAGGGGGGGAGGGAGAGAAGACGCGAGAAGGGTGCGTAAGAAGGGCTCGTTTGTAATCGCGAAATTCAGTTTGCGTTCCCGAGCTATCCACGGAGATTTCGCCGACCTCTCGACTCAATTCCCTCCTCCTCCCCCTCCTACTTCTCCTCTTGCTCCTTCTCCTCTCTCTCTCTCTCTCTCTCTCTCTCTCCCTCCGCTGTTACCCTTTTATTTCTCTTTCTCTCGATGCTCCGTTTCTCCGTCGGTTTTACAGGCTTTCCCGTGTCCTCCTCGAGCTAGCTTCTCTCTTGCCGGATCTCTCCGCTACTCGGAATGCCGTGTTTAAATGCACAAACGAAGCGAGAGATCAAAGGCACCGCGCTGCGGCGGCGTGCGCGCGCGCGCGCGCGTCTGCTAAGTGAGAGCAAGAGAAGAAAAACCGAAGAAAAGGAGGGAGAGAGCGGTAACGGGAGAACCGGCGAAACAGAGAGAAAGAGAGCGAGCGAGAGAGAGAGAGAGAGAGAGAACCGGAGAGGCCGGGAAGAAAGGGAGAGCAACGTTTATTATTATCATCGCTTACGCAGCCAAAGACCGGCCGCCCCACCTACGTCGACGCTCCTGCTCGCTTCTACTCGCCTCTCTGTTCGCTCCTGCTCGCTTCTGCCGTTGGCTGCTTCTCTCGGCGTCCACTAAACCGTGCAGCCGAGAATGTCGAGATTAACTTTCGTGTAAACACCGCGGAAGACGCGCGCGCGTGCAAGCCCGTCAAGCCTCGTGCAGCCACAGTCACAACTGGCAACCGTAGCCACGACGGCCGCATCCCGTTCACGGAGAAGCCGACCTCTGTCACTGCATCGGCGGCAACCTTGTCAACCCTGTCACCCGGCACCGACCCTGAAATCTCCGGCGTTCCGTCGGCTCCGTTTCCGCCGCGACGTCTTCTTCCCTCCGCGGGCCACGATTTACGCACGCTCGGGCTAACTTCGGCGAACTCGGCAATCGAAATCCTTCCTTTCTCGACGCTCCATTGTCTCGCTATCTAGAGATCGACGAATCCGCGCGGAAAATGTTCCGATATCCAAAAAAAAAAAGAAAAAAATGGACGAGGGTCTTCGGGGAATAGGAGAGTCTGTCTAATCCAGGAACGAGCCGTCTGGCCCACTCGGACGTAACGCGATATTCTTTCTCCAGAAGGGGGGGGATATCGGGTCGGATCGGATCGTGAACGCGTCGACGAGTGCGCGTAATCTTCCCGGGGAGCGGGCTGTACGTCACCCAGCGGACCACCCAGACGCCAGTGGTTCGAGTCGGCTCGTGGCCAGACCGCGGCTGAATTGGTGGAAACCGGCTGCTCGATAATTATCGCGGCGCGTCGTCTCCTCCTCGCGCCGCGTGTAGCGGACGTTACTCGAGACGCGGATGCTTGAAGCGTGACCGCCAGACGGCCCGACGATGGCTCTTTAATTATCGAGTAATCCGTCGTCGCATCGCGCGAACAAGAACCGCCGCGGGAGAACCCCGTCCGCCGGATTTCGTGGCAGCCGGGAATTCTTCTA